GGATTCATCACCAAAATAAAATCATCCCTCTGGTCAGCCTGAAGCCCGTCATTACCGTCACACCAAACCTTCACTGCCGCTGCCATCCCCACGGCCACGAACATATGAAGAAACAAATTATTTGATCCTCAAACAAGCCCCCCGTCATTTCCCGATGACCTTTCAGGCACCACTGGAGGAAACTAGAGGAGAAACAAATAAAATCATTTTTTTAATAAAATGATAGTTAAGAGATTATTTTTATTTTAGATTCTATACTCATTAAAATAATTATTTAAAAAATAAAAAATATTAAATATTGAATGTGGACTGTCCAAATTATAGCTGGACGATCTAGATCGGATGAGCTTGAGGTGAACTCTTAAACCGGTTCCCATTGCATGTGTTCCTTGCTCCGACCCATTTCTTGCCCTTCTGTATGTTTCCATATTCTTTTTCGTCGTCTTATGTTTTTTATTTGTCCTTTTCAAATGGCATAACTGTAAGGCAATTTTTATAATAATATCATTTGATCCTCGTGTGTGATTGTTACATGTGAAAGAATTCTGATGAGGAAGTTCCATATGATAAATATTATTCCTCCAGTTCTTAACATAAGACTTATTTAATTAATTTGATTAGACTAAAGAAGTTAGGTAAGTTAGTTAATTATAAGAAATATAACATACTTTTTCTAAAACATTATAATTATTTTTCTTGATATCTTCCTCTATCTTTTACTTGATTACGGTTGAGGGAATATCTATAGGGATAATTTAAAAAAAAATAATAAATATGAGAAATATGTCTTATATTTAGGACTAAAATCAATTTAACAAATGAGTCCTGTATTAAAGACCGGAGGAGTATCAAGTTTTTTTTAATATGAAGGATCGATATTATAGAAAGTGTTAAATATCCAAAAAGTTTTGATTTTCCCCCCAGTTATTTTATTTGGAAATAACAACAATTGAGACGGATCTAAAAATTCAGAACGGAAAGTGACAGGGGTTTGAAGGCTGCGATGCTTTTTGGTCATACATGTGGTTGGTAAAGAGAAGACCGAGGTCTTTTGTGATGCAACGGCTGTCGGCTGATGACCGAGATGGAGGCGACAAGTCAAACTTTAGACGCCACATGCAGATAACGTTTCTTTTTTTGTTAATATAAATTTAAATTAATTTTAGTATTAGTCCCTAAAAATTTTAAATACATGATATTGGTCCCTAAAATTTTGACCGTCACAAAGCATTAGTCCCTGATATCTTTACACCATTAATTTCATATGAGCTGGCACTAACACCTTTTACCCAATGAGGTGCAACATGCTGACGTGGCAATCAACAATAACCAAAGTTATTTCATTGCTCACTTCAGAAAACAGTGGGCTAAACTGCAGCAAATATGGTTCTTTACAAGTGGTCCCTTTGTTTCAATAGCTCATTCATCATCTTAGCATCCTCATCATGATCCCTTAATCAGACAGTCTTGATGGGTGCAAGAATCTCTAACAGAAATCAAGCTATATGTCACAGCAATCAAGTCTCTTCTTTGATGCAAACGACAGGTAAAGAGGATCCAGCAATGGTTTGTGGTTGCATGCATAAAGCTAATGATGATTCCCCTCGCATCATCATCATCATCTTTGTTGCACGTGTTGGGCATTAAAGTCATCAGACACGAGTTGATCAAGCTAATTAATTAATACAATGTTCAAAACAATAAGACTAAAAGAACAGTCTATTGAGTTAATAATTTAGAATCAAGAGACTGGTTCAAGCGGCAAATGTGAGAGCGTCAAGACATCCTTTGCCTTTCCATTTACGTGCTTGGACTTAAATGGGTTGATCTTATTTGGAAGACTATGTCATCACATTATTTTATTAGCTTTATTTTTAGTCTAAAAAACAGAGACTAACATACATGTAATTTGAATTGTAACTTGGCATTGCTTTAGTTGAATATCATGAATTTTAATGACATCACAACAGTATCATAGTTGGATATGATAAATTTTAGTTGAATAGAATAGTAGCTAACAAGGCATCATTAATAGAGTACATATTATGAGGTGGAATCGGCACCTATCAACAAGAGTTTTTCTTTTTATGACACTGTACACAAGCTGCAAATTAGAAAAAAAAACATTAATTTATTTATTTTATTTCAAGATCTAATAACCAAAGCTAGCATTTGACATACCTTGGAGATGTATCCATCATAAGCAAGCTTGTACTTGCTGTCAAGGTGAATCCTGAGCACCATTCTGTCGTTCACACATAAAATATGTCACTTGGACCATGGAATTGTCTTCTTCTTCTTTTTTTTTTAGTGGAAAGAGGAGTATATTATTGCAAAGTTGCTATCTTGGATGACCGTGAATTAGTGAAAGAGGTCAACAACGTATTTGTTGCCTCCATCTCTATTGTTCTATCATGTGTGTAAGCTTTTTTTGAATTGTTGCCTTTTTTCCCCTTTTTGTCTAGGTTATCAAGCTACATATTTGTCAGTTTATATATCCGCCTCATCAGGTTAACAGTGTTAGTGCCATCTCAAATAAAGTTAATGGTGCAAAGGTATCAAGGACCAATGTTTTGTAACAACCAAAATTTCAAGGACCAATACTATGGGTTTGAAATTCTAGGGACCAATACCAAAATTAGCTCAAATTTGAGGGGTTGAAATTTGTATTAACCCTTTTGTTTGTGTAGATAACTGATATGCGCGTGATAAGGAGATAAGAGAAGTCAAATTTTAAACTGGTATGGAATAAAATATCACAATAATAAATATCGTAATACTTGTCAAATTTCGACCGAGATTTATTAGCTGTTTTATTTTGCACTTCCCATCCGTACCATTCCCCTTCCTTCATGGCTTCGTTCAATCGTTCGGCGTGGGACCCGCGCCACAAACGCATACTCCTTCTTCTTCTGTTTTCAATTTCTTTCTTGCTTTACTTCTTTAAATACTGCTCTTCGTTTTCTTTTTCCTCTCTCTTTTTTCGGTCAACAATTTCGTTTCCTTGTTTAGTTGTTGTTCTTCGATCGTTTCCGGAAAATTTCTGATGAAACTTCAATTCAGTGGCAATTAGGTTTTCAACTTTCACTCTTCACGCGTTCGATCACCAAAAGTCCTCCGACTGGGTCCACCACCATGTCACCCCCCGCTGCTCCACCACTACGGTCACCCCTAAATAGTTCACACACAAAAGCATTAAAAATGAATAATTTTTTGCAATGGAAAGTAAAAAGAAATTAAAAGAAACGTTTTCTCTAAAAAGTGTAAAATAATTAATATGAAAAAGTAGGGTTACTATCATTTTTGATATCCCAAGTTTAATCTGTCTATAACCATTGCTCCCTGCAGTTTTTAAAAGACTTCGGGCTGAGGCTAACGGATTTAAGTTTGCTTATCTAGCACGAACACCTAAAGCTGTCATGGCAAAATTGCTGAGTAAGCTACTAAGAAAGACCTGGACTTGTGATTCAAAAAACTCACGCGCACGTTAAAGTTGAACACACGCAGGGGCTGAGAATGCAATCGAAGGAAAGGGAGAAAAGGGTTAGGTTAGGTTAAGAAGGATTCACTCGCTGGAGCCGTCTGACCTTACCGTGACCGGTAGTCAAAGAGCGGTCTAAGGAAGAAGTAGCGCTTGGGGTGTAAACATGACATTTGATATGGTATCCATATGCTAAGCAATAGAGAAGTAAGCCTGTAATAAAAATCCATATGCTTAAAGGATGCCCTTCCAAAGGGGATGAACTGAGAAAATGTGTTTGAACAATCTCTCTTGTCTCTGAAATTAGAAGCTCAAATATAGAATGCCAAGCAGTTGATCTGCACCAACATCAAACGAACTAATTAGAACTGTCATAATGGCATCATCAAATAAAATAATTATTCCGGTAACTGCTTGAGTACACACGTCAAATACATCAATAATGAAGACATCAAGAAATTCAAACAGCAATAATAAATCAAGCCCTGATGAGGGGTGTGTGTGTAACATTCTTATCGTCTTATGATATTGTTATCTTTATATTTAAGAATAAAGGTGTAAATTTATCCTTGATTTTATTTCTCAGGTCCAGTCAGTACTCTGATATTTTTAGTAGTACAATTTTACCTATAATTTTTTTTTGTGCAATTTTATTTCGAGGTAAAATTGTATCCAAACATTAGAGGTAAAATTACATTAAAAAAAAATATCACGAGTAAAATTGCATGAGGAAAAAAAGATCCGGGTATTAAGTGTACATGGGAAATAAGGTCAAGTTAAATTTGCACCTTTACACTCATACCAGAATCTTTATAATGACGTCTGATGGACAATTTTAAAATATATATATATATATATATATATATATATATAGATAGATAGATAGATACAAGCATACATCACTCAATATATATATTGCAAATGATAAAATAAAAAATGCATAAACAAACGTTTCATACAGAGAATTAAATTATGGATGAAATATATTACTAGTTAGTTAAAGTACTGCCTTTAATGTATCTAGTTAACATGCTTATGGCCTAAATTAATATTGTTTATTTGCAAATTCTCTCCGATGTTACTGCTCAGCATCTTCTAGCTGCAGGGAATTCATGCTTATGGCCGAAGTTAACATTTCAGTTCGCATGACTAAAATTCTTGCTTTAATTTCCCTGATCATCACAAAAAGTCCAACTGATGGGATGGCATCCCTCATCCCCAAAGTCCTCTAGAGCTTCGTGCCCATTACCACCAAATCATCCCGCCGGTCCTCCCATCACCGCCACACCCAAACCTTCACCTCCACCGTCTTTTCTTATGAGGAACCATTGGAGGAAACCAGAGGAGAAGAAATAGAGCTTAAACCACCTTGCGGCCTGGCGGGGCGGTGGTGCTAATCACAGGAGATATACACACACACACACATATGAACTGAACACTCGCTCATTATTTGACTATACCATGACTAGTGATGAGACACACAATGAAATGAGTAATATATATAAAGAATCGTAATGAAATGGGAAAAGAAACTTTGAATGCTTACGCGAGTGAAGTAGTAGCCATGACTACGAGCTTGCCGGAATTCGATGTTGGTGGCCGCACTGGTTGTTCCTTCAAGCAGAAAGAGATGAGAATGAGTTTAGGAAACGTTTTGCGGAAATTTTATATCATCAAGGGTTAAGGTGTGAATTGTTTTGCGGAAAGAGCATTTGGCAATGCAAATGTAACAAAGATCTTTTAAAAGGAAAGCAGTTTTCCAACCCAAACGTCTCCCCAAAGTTTTGAAAAAGACAGGAGTGCTTGTGATTGGACGAGCGGGAGACGAGCAATGGGCTGTATCGAATTTGGGTAGCATCTTTCAAAAACAAGTTTTCAAACTAACGGAATAACCCTCCTCATATTATCGATGAAGGCCACGTGGCCATGAAAATGAAACTTATCATGTACCATGGTGGACTCCGTCTCATCTACTTTGCATTACGGTGGTGCTAATCACATAAGATACACACACACATATATATGAACTGAGTACTCACTCATTATTTGACTATACCATGACTAGTGATGAGATGCACAATGAAATGAGTAATATAAAGAATCGTAATGAAATGGAAAAGAAACTTTGAATGCTTTACGTGAGTGTGTGGGTGCAACCAATGACGTTGCATGTGCTGGGGTAGCAAGGGATCACGATGGTGCATTTGTAGATGGTTTTATGTTTAAAATTGGGAGGGGAAATAGTCTTCATGCAGAGTTGTGGGCGGTGCTGTGGGGATTAAAAAGATCTTGGGAGTTGATATGGAAGAGGCTTATTATTGAGACTGATTGTATGGAAGTGATTGATTTAGTTGTATCTGGCTGGCCTGATTATCATCCGGATTGGCACTTGCTAGAAGAGATCAAATGGTGGATGGATCGTGAATGGGATGTAAGGTTGGATTGGTGCTCCAGAGATGTCAACTTAGCTGCAGACACGTTGGCAAAGAAGCCATTGTTATCAGCTAAAGGGATAAATTTTTTCTGCACTCCTCCAAGATGTATTCAGAGCTTGGTCGGCACTGATGCCATTGTGTAGTTTTAGTTTTTATTCCTCATCGAAAAAAAAGAAAAGGAAAATTCCTGTAAATGGGGAATTAGTTTTGAAATTGATTGAGCAGTTAAATTCCAATGACATGAGGGTAAAATTGTAAATCTGCTCTAGTAAGCCTTAGAATGCATCTAGGCTAGGACAAAGTCCAATTTCTCGTTAGGTCTAAGAATCCGTCTAGGCTCTTAGGTTACGTTTGGTATAAAGCAAGCATTAAAAATGAGAGATAAGAATTGGGATTGGAGTTGAAACCACATGTTAAAGGATGCTTAAGATGAATGATTTCTTATCACATGGGATTAGGCAATCCCATATAGATAGGATTGGAGAATATCACCTCCTCTTATGATATTTCCTAATTCCACATATATGGGTTTGTCTAATCCCAAGTATCATACAATTAGTCATGCTAAATATTTTTTTAATATAATTTGTACTTTCAATCTCAATCCCTATTCCTCATTTTTAATATTTCGTACCAAACGGCACCTTAATGTCTGCAACGTTAGCAGCTCTACACCATTTGATGGAAGCCGGATACCATCATAGGTCACAGCCTTGGACAGCCTCATCAAAGCTTCCTTTTTCTGCTTTCCAAGTCTCCTCCGAACAATCTCAGCCGTTCACTCTCCGCACAGTTGATCTTATAGTTCTCTTCGACTGGGAGATAGATGCTTTCACAGATCACAACTGTTGCTTCCACATCTTGGTTATATAAACCCGTGATTATACGCCTTTGAATGATTTTTCCAGGGATTAAAATGATATATTAGGATCTGTTGCCCATAAACTATAACAATGGGTCATTGCTCATTTATGTTTCATTCATTCATTTATGGGTCCAAACTTTTTTTTTAAAAAAAATACATCGATGGAGACAAAAACACGACAAGGATCAGCACGATGCACAACTTTCGCATAAATTTGCATAAAATATTCCCACAATATCATCATCTGACTGTTAAGCAAAAAGAATGAAGATTATAGAAGTCTCAAATGAAACTACAAGTTCATCAAAAGTAAGGTTAGATTATCTATCTATCTAGTTAAGGTTAAAGTACAAATTCACTTAAAAAATTTTCACTGAATGCTAGGCATTTGGAAATATTTTTACGTCAATATTATCATAAAAGTTTAAAATCATAGCAATTTCACCTTTTTCTAAAGTTTCTTTTTTTTTCCTTCTCATTCTAGCTAGTTATATATATAGATAAAAACGGAGTCAAGAAAGTAATGAAAATAGAGAAATGTAAAAAGTCCTAAATATCGTTAGTCACAAAGACTTGTCATGAAACACTAGAGTGAAAAAGGAGAGGAACGGATCAGTGGAATATGGCTTGAGATGAAAAAGTGAGGCCAAGATAGTCTTTTTTTAAGCATTCCCAAGTAAACAAAGACATTTCATAAACCCTTTGACGAAATGAAAATGAATGAAATTTATTACTTTTGGTCTTTAATATAAAAATTAGTTGACTAATTTGAGTATTATCTCTAATCTAATTATAAGATCTAATTTGTAGTCTACAAATGAGATCTTATAAATAAGGCTGGAGGTAGTGTGTTAAAAAAATTAGTTAAGTCAGTTGTTTATAATAAACAAGTATTATCTTTTCTAAAATATCCTTGCTAATCAAGTATACTAGCTAAAACTACTATCATTACAAGGATTGCATTGAAAAAATGAATAAATATGAGATACAAATTGAATTAGAGTTTTACATTTAGAATCAAAATAAAAGTTAAACAAACTCTTATACTATCTCCGGTTCTACTTATAAGACCTCATTTGTAGTTTACAAATAGGGTCTTGTAATTAGGATCGGTATTAAGAGATGTGATCAAATTATGAATGATATATACTAAGCAATATGATCTAATATGCCTTTAATGTATCTCAGAATATGCCTATGGCCTAAATTAATAAATTTTTTAACTTTAGTATTTGACAAAAGACCAACTGTGATTGCAGAAAGTTAAAAGCTGCCCAACATAATTTATTGCCTTTTGTTTTTGGGGGGGGGGTTGAATGGTCATCAAGAGTCCCATCTTGGTCCACTATATGCTCTAGATCCATCCAACGTAGCCCATGGTCCCTAAGCCCAACACTAACACCTTTCGGCCCAATAATTGTTTCTTCCCACTCTCATTAATGCGAGGCCCATTTGTTACATCCTCCAGCTTTGGGCCCACCGCCAAATCATCCGGCCCGTCCGTTCACCTTAAACATTTGTTATTCTAAGCTTTTGACATTAGCAAAAATAGATTTTCGACATTCTCCAACCCCCACGAATCATCGGCCGGTCGGTGAAACCCCACGGCCACGAACATATGAGGAAACAAATTATTTGATCGTCAAACAAAGACGTCGATCGTCATTTTTCGATGACCTTAGGCACCATTAATGGAGGAAAGCAGAGAAGAAACAAAGCGCAAACCACCTTACACTGGGAGGTGGGGCTAATCGCAGGATATCTATGGACTAGATACTCAATCATTATTTAACGACCTATTCTAATAAGTGAGACGCACACAGAATATCCAGAATTGCCTTTTTCATGCATTTCACGTACAACTCCGAAAATGACACGAAAACTTGCGCGGTTTCACAGGACATATTATGGGAAGGTGAGACCCCAGTTAGCTCATCGACCCCTTTCTACCTGTTTCACCTACTCGTTGTTCGCCGCAAGACCCCCTTTCCGCCATTGAAGAGAACCAACTTTTGCAAGAGAAGTCCAGCGAAATGTGCTGCCGGAGTGGAGGTGGATTTTATTGGCCGGGTGGGACCCGCTTGCCACGTTTAAGTCAAAACCTTTTTGTGTATTTTAGGCAAAGCATCCTCTCCATTTTCCTTTGCTAAAATCAGAAGTACATCACTTCCCATCTCTCCACCAATCAGCTTCTTGTATTCTACCACTTGGACAATTTAAATTTAATGATTTACAAAATTTAAAAAATGAATTATATTTTTGACAAAAAACAACCTTTTGATAACAAAAAAAAAACCACTTTAAATATTTGCTAATTTAGGAATTTTAATTATAAATAAATGTTCAGGTCTAAAATGAAAATCTTATTTTATAAATGATATTTATTTTTATAATTCTTTAAATTGATATTTGCAGCTCTTTTTTAAAATTTTTTGTCAGAATCTAATTGTAATTAAATTTTTTAAAAAATACGTAGAGACAAATTAGTTGGGACAACACTATCTTCTATTGGCCTCAACCAACAGGGAAAAATATAAAGGAGGTAGGCCCAGAGTCCCCGTTGGGCAAAACGTTGGCCGACAATTCCATAGTACTGACGAAATGCCTACTTTTTCCCCAGTGCTTGACTCGTGTAAGCCGCAGAATCTTCACATTTAAGGTTGTTTAATAATTAATGTCATCCGCGTTTTAATATGGCAAAACTAACAAAGCGTTATTTCTCGGTAGGAAATGCACATTAACCCATATGAATGAGAATTACTTCCAGGTAACATTTATACAGGTCATCCATACATAACCACAATCACTATTGTAATATACTGAAGATTTGATTCTTAATATAAAACTTATTTAACTAATTTAATTAGATTAAAAAATTAAGTTAATTAGTTAATTATGAAAAAATTGATATTTGTTTATGAATTTTATAACTTCTTCAACTATATTTGTCAAGGAATTTTATAACTTGTTGAACGGTTTCAATTATGTAAAATAAACCTTAATATATGACCTATAATTCTAATTATAAAACTTTATTTGTAAACTACAAATAAGGTCTTATAATTAGGACCGAAAGTAGTATTAGATATCAGTCCCCTTGAGTTAACTAGTCTAGGCTCTCCACTATTTTCCCGAGGGAGTAAAATAAAATAGTTCAGATGTTACAATTTGAAAAGTAATTATCAAAATATTATATTTAAAATCGAGAATTAAGATTTTAATTTCTGTCATCTCACTTCCCATCCTGATACTCAGTCATTCCCCAGTCCCCGCCTTTTTCAAATTATACTCATTCTTTCTTTGTTATATTATTTCTTTTTTCTTCTTTCCTTTTTTATTTTCTTTTTCGGTTTATTTTTTTCTGCAAAATAAAAGAAGACATGGATATTTTATATAAATAATACTCCTCTGGTTCTTAATATATGATCTAAGTTTTAAGTTAATTTTGGTCATAAATATAAGATCTATTTCTCATATTTATCATTTTTTTCTAAATTACCTCTATAAACACTCCCTCAACCATAATCAAGTAAGTGAGGAAGGGAGGATATTAAGAAAGATGATTATGGTATTTTAGGAAAACATGTCATATTTCTTATAATTAACTAATTTACCTAACTTCCTTAATCTAATCAAATTAATTAAATAGATTTTATATTAAGGACCGAAAGAGTATTTCTTATCTCATAATTAATCATTTCATGTTAATTAAATAACCTTAATTGTAAATAAATATCTAATGAAAAAATAAGCATTATAAATCAGCATCACATTATAACCTCATTCAGTTATTTGGAACTTACAATGGGAGTAGTATAGGTTCTCGCCTCCTATAATTTGATTATCAGATTTTCGTATGTTGTTTTGGTTTTGTCTCTTCATTTTATATTATATTGTTATTAGGTTGCTATGTTATATCATTTTACCATTTTTTATTGTAAAATATTATTTTGTTTTATGTTAATTTATTCATACATTTATCATGCTTCATTTAGTGGTTTACCGATACTAACTCATTATTTTGTTGTTTTATAAATTATACATATATATAATTTATGCTGTTTGTATTTTTTTTCTTTTACTGAGTTCGTTAATATTTATTTAATTTATTTCGTTACAATTATTTTGCCTTGGTTTAAATTGTTGCCTATATATTTGATTATAAAATATGTATATTTATTTATATTTACTTTGCTGTAATATTTATATATTTATTTATATTGCTATAATTCCCCTTCTAGATATATATAGACACACTCATCTCTCTATATACTGTGA